GATGACTTCCCGACTTTCGAGGCTGTCCTTCCCACAGATGTGACCTTTCAGGACTACATCGTGATTGATCATGGTGGCGCCACGAGTGGTCTCCTGACCGATCAAGAGATTATTAATGATGTCACGGGTGCCCATGAAGACCACGATTCCGACGAAGAATCATGCGAGGAGATACAGCCGCGACCTCATCGCACCTCACGGGAAGTCTCGAAGGCGCTGTTAATATTAGAGGACGCTTGCCTGAACACTCCCGACAGCTTGCGTGCTGTTGGCCATTTGAAATAGTTAAGAAAAATTGTGATGTCAGCCGGAATCTGCGCGAAAACGCACACAATTACAAAATACTTCAACAAAAATAAAGGTATGCTTCTGCAGCTTGACTTTAAATGTTGTTATCCCTGTTCATTCGTTAATTCGGCATTCGGTTAATTCGGACAGTTTTTGCGGTCCTGCGAAATCCGAATTAACGAGCTTTTACTGTATTGCACAGAATCGTTAAGAGTCTGCATAGGTGCTTTCCCAAATACACATGGCTTTGTGGTTTCAAACAATCAAAACAGCTATGGTCGGATGCAACTTTAAAGCATTGTTTATAGAACCTCTTCACTTGCCAAGCTCTCTGCCTCTGCCATACATCGAAAGCGGCGCAAAACTTACTTCCGGTCCAGGTGGTGATACTGCAGCAACAGGCTCCTCGTAGCAGATGACGAAGCGCGAGTGAACGTGGCGTGTGCAGTTGCTATCCGTGGGAATATTGAATAGCTTGAAAATGCAATGACGAAAATGACTAGTTTTTCTCGTTAGGTAACCGTGAAAGTTTAATACATTAGCAGGAACGTATGAAAGTGTGGTAGGGGCTGCTCTATGTTGCGCGAACTATAGCAGGCACCCGGTGATAGTGTGACTCTTATCAAGTTCAGCACGACAGTCATTAGTGCTGTGCATTGTCCAAGTGACCAGCTGTGATGACAGTTTTTTTTTTTCAGCTAATGGGGAAGACTCCAAATGTTTTGGTAGGTTCTGTCAAAATACACAATGGCAGAATTGCATTGGAGCCACGTGAATCATGCAGTGGGATCTGCTCACATCATTTGCATTACCCATTTTAATTTCAGTTAAAAGCTGAACAAACAACTAGAAAACATTGCTTAACATTGTCAGGCAGATCGATTTAGTTGCACAGCACATTTGCAGAAATTAGTTATGCATGTGACGACACACTTTGGTAGCGATCAAGCCCAGTCGGGACAGGGTTTTTTCACTGGCTTGTCTGCGGAAGTTGCAGAAAGGAGCCAATAGGGCTCGAGGGCTTCAGCTTCGAACAAAGTATGCTGCTTACACTTTAATTTAACACTTCACAGCAGCAGCTTCTTTAGCCGCCTGCCGGGACACATTCAGCGACTCAACGCGCGCGAGCAGTTCTGTTAGATGTGAAAACGCAGTGATTGTGTCAAATCTAGATGTCTATGCAACACGCCCATTCGGTCACGAGTTCAGTTCCTGCTGCAACAGTCGCATTTCGATGGAGGCAAAGTGCAAGACGCCCGTGTACTGTGCAATGTGAGTGCACATTAAAGAACACCAGATGGTCGAAATTTCAGTCGCCCATCGCTATGACGAAACCCTAGATATTATCATTATTATAATTTGTATTTAGTCCCCCAAAACTCCAAGAAGACGTGGTAATATCGCTAACGGTGTTGTGCAGATTGGCTATGCAGCACTGCGCGTTCAGAGAAATTAGCCATTGCAAGCGCATGACTAAGTTATGCATGTGCACACTTCGATAGCAATCAAGCCCATTCGCGACCGATTTTTTTCGCTGGCTCATCTGCAAAAGTTGCAGATGAGCCATTGAAGTCGGAAAGTTCACATGCGAACAAAGTATGTAGCTTATATAAACTCTGGGTTATTACTTCAGAGCAGCTGCTATTTCCTTTACATAGTAGTGCCCCTGCACATAATCTTTTCCGTCCTGGGAACACATTCAGTGCGTCAACACGTGCGAGCAATTCTGTCAGTTGTAAAAGCACGGTGATAGTGTCAGATTTAAATGTCTTTGCAACAAACCCATGCGCACTAACACTCACTGACATATCTTCGGCGACAATGATGCATTTTTTGAAGACTAGTGTGCGCTCTTTAGTCTTTATTGCAGGAAAGGCCACAAAACGAGTGTTTTTATAAGAGCTGTCAATGCTGCTGACTCACAGTTTGATAATGCTCAAAGTGGGTGCACTGCTTGCCGTTTCGGCACGTTTTTCAGGCTTGCGTGGTGATTTAAAACACGTGAAGCATTTCTCTTCGACCATCCTCCCTTGATCTGAAATCCTTTTTTTTTTTTTTTTTTTTTTTTGCGGTTCCGAAGATATCCTGGGCGGTTAGGAAAAATTTGGGCACACTTTCCTGCTGAAGACTCCACTTCATTACCGCGAGCGTTCTCGACATTTTTCCCATTGACAAGGTGGCTGTAGGTTTTAAAAGTGCCTTCGGCATGAAAATGGACATCGCAAATTCGCAATATCCAACAGCCTTTTGTAAAGACGGAATAGCACGATACTGCGCAGCATGGAGAACAGGGTCACGTGGAGCCTAGTGTAACGGGCACTTGTTTGTTCTATAGCCGCTTGTGCATACAAGCACACGTCAGCATTGCAGATGAACAAACATCCACGCTACATAGAACACAGCAACACGCAAATCTCCTCAGTGTGCGTATTGCAGTACACGAACACAGCGTAACCACAGCCAAACACACACTCGATCCGGCAAGTGTTGCTGGACTTGCAGAAGCATGTTGCAGCATCAGCACCACTTCCAGCCATCGCTTGCGGTGGCGCCGTGCAACACAGCTGAGTTTTCGAACTGAACAGGTTCTATAAACATTGCTTTAAAGCTCCATGGCATTTCCTCCTTAAACATAGATGCAGACAAGCCTGCACGAATGGGTGTGTACTCTGAACACTGACGTCATTAATCAGATGGCTAGTGACCCGGCTTTCAGGAAACGTTACTAAGTGTTTGGATGATTTCTTTAGTTGTGAACAGGATTGGCTGTTATGCCTCGGCATGGATGGGGTATCTCTGGACGTCTTAAGGGGACATGCTACTCGAAGACACTTTTTCTTTAATATTCACCCTAGAGCAATGAAAATTGAGCTGTTTATGGAACTTGTTATGCCGATTTCAAATATATAATTAGTTTTCTTGCAAGTTACACACTTTTTACTCTGCAACATGAAGAAGTGAAAACCTCAAACCTTTTGCCCCCCTTCTTTTCATGCCTAAAATTCTGAAATTTTTTACCATTCATAGTTCATAATGCTTCAAGTAAAGCCTTGAGTGCAAATAACTAATTAGGAAGCACATACAAAATATGTAATACGCGTGAAAAATAATAGGCATAAAAAGTCCATATTTCACCTACCCTAGTAAAAGTATACATGCAATTTTTATTATACAATAAAATATTGAAATTTGAACTAGATGATTGCATTTGTCATACTTTGGAAAAAATTTGGGCAAAATTTCATGCAGATCCGAGCATTAGAAGTGCCCGAAAAAGGAGGGGCGCATTGGAAAAAATGGTAAAATTTGTGTTTTGAGAAAAACGAGTTTTAAAGTTCAAATTGAGTTTTTATTTATGAAAGATATTATTAAATCTGATGAAATTTGCACACCAAAAAGAACAATCCTTCTTGTAATGGCCACTGCGACTAAAATACGCCAGCACCATGAGTTTGTCCGTCTCGGCGTTTTCAAGCCGACTCCTCACAGACATTTCGCTCACAGACAGGGCCATGAAACGCTTGCCAAACTTCCGCTCCATCTGGCAGAGCCTTGTGCCAACTGCAAGCTAGGAAGAAGTTTGACAGGACTGCGAAATTCAAAATAAGTCCAGTGTCATGCCATTTTGCAGCCATGTTTGTGCCACATATTGTCGTACATAATGACGATGTCATCCCTGCTAAGTTCTCTCACTGCGAGCTCTTTTGACCTATCAAGATCGGCGCTGACGTCATTCATTGCCGCATCACGAACTTTCCGGCTGACGGGTGTGAATGACCTTGATGCATTGGCTTTTGCAAGCCAACAACTGCCGCAAATCGGACCAGCTGCTCGTAGCCTATTCCTACAGAGCAAGCCGCACAACGGCTTTCACTTGCGAGCAATGCCTTTGTTCATTCATAACAGAGATAGTTACACTAGAAAAGCATTGTTCAACTGTGCTGCTCGACAAGACGTGGACCCCGCAAATAGGTTTCACAGCACATACAGGCGCGCAGCGGCCAATGGCGGTCCCCGATTCGTATTATGTGATAAGCCTGTCGCGCCCCTCGAAAAACGCGCAGTAGAGTGATTCTTTTTATTATTTCTTGCACTGCATCAATGAGAGAAACTGTTGTTATTTGTAGTGTGGGGGCTGGACTATTCGACTCATGCGATCAACAATGGCTAGCGGCGGCGCATTATCGGCAGCAAGGTGCTCGAAGACTGCACACTTTCGACCTTTTAACAGGCACCTTGTGCTATTTAGATGAAATTTTAAAGCATTTTCAGTTAAGTCTCGACCTGTATTATTTTTTTCATAACAGTGGAGGTACTAATCTTGTCAAAACAGGTGAAAATAAAAAAATCGGTAGTTTTCAAAAAAACTTGCGTTTTTCGACCCGCATCTCCCCTTAAGTTGTATATGACTATGGGCAGTCATTTCTAAATTGTCTGGTGCAGGTAAGAAAGCTTCATACATAGTACATAATTTTGATAATTACCCCCATGTTCTGAAACACTCCTTGACTTGGCTTGCCACCGTCTTCAATACAGCACAAACTTGGTTCAAACGCACAATCTTTAGGCCGTGCTAAGGCAGCACAAACACATTTCAAATGTGCTGCCTTGAGGCGGTGGCAAGTCAGGTTAAAGTCAAGTAGCATTTCTGAATATGGGAGTTAGAGACACTTATTTCCAAGCCCGTGATAGTGCTCCATTTCTCATTTCAGGAAGCTGAGCGTAAAATTCAAGAGGAAAGAATTCGAATGGAGAACATCTTGAGTGGAAACCCTCTGCTGAATTCAAGCAAGGCTGAATTCAAGGTGAAGCGACGATGGGACGACGACGTCGTGTTCAAAAACTGTGCCAAAGGTGATCTCGAGAGCAACAAGAGCGCCATTTCATCAATGACACTCTTCGTTCAGAGTTTCACAAGAAGTTTATGGAGAAATACATCAAATAGTTTAGAACATTTTCCCTTTTCTTCTCAATTCCCAGTGCCATGTGATGGGACCATCCCAGGTGCACTTTGTGGCATGTAAAGTGCTGCTTCGTTCACCATTTCTCTTTACCAGAACATACCAACGCCTGAACACATTCTTCATGTGGATTAGTTATGAGGAACATTGTCGACACTTTATGCTTCCTGCAGGCCCTTTCTTTATTTCTTAATAAATAGCTGCAGATTGCACATACTATTTTATTTTGTAAAGTTACAGGCAATCCAGTCCTGATTTTTAACCCTGTTTTCAATGTATAGCATGCAAAGCCATGGCCTTTTAATAAATTATGCGATAAAGTGTTTTCCTGCCCTTTGTTTAAGACGTATGAGAGAGGAGACCCTGCAATACTATGGCAGCGATATTCTAAAAATACATTGATGAGCAGTTTAGTGTTGAAGCTGGTGAAAAACTTGAGTGGGCTTATTTTTTATTAGCTTCCATTGGCACCTGTGACCTCACGGTGGATGTGGGCTTCATCTTTCAAGAACTGTTTCTCCAAGTGTGCATGCACTGATGACTTTGTATCGGCAATATTGTAGATAGAGTTTGCACTGCATTCTTAGCTTGCCAACAACTTTATCAAACATCGAATTGACCTGCATCGGGGCTGGTTAGTCTTTCGTGTAGAGTGGTTGCACCCAACTCCAGATGGCAGGCTGTAAGAAAGACATGTAAACACTCATTTCTTCTTTCATGTGTTTCTAAAGTTCGCAGCTACCATTCAACGTTCAGATTCAGCAAAAAAAAAGTCAAACAAAACTATATTATATGGTGTCAAACTCCCCATTCTTAAATTTTTATTCGCACCTACAAGGCATTCAACATTTTATGCCATTTAGTGGCACTTGAGGCATTGAATGAAGTGATGCCTGGTCCACTGTATCTGCGATGCAATTAACACTTTCGTGACCGCGAGAGATTTGGCAGGTCTTGGGTAGTCCAGAAAATCTTATTTTTTATGGCACATCATTATGTTTATGGTGTCAAATTGTACAGCTAGGAGTCATCTTTCAAACACAGTCAGTTTGAAAAATAAATTTATTAAGAATAGTATGAAAAAAAATCATCAAATGAAAAACATTGTAAACATGAACAAAGAATTTCATAGAACCATGAATACTCCTCTGAACATGCTAAGCATAAAAAGAAATCGAAATATACATTTTAAGTGCAAGGAGCACACACAATTATACTGTAAATATAAGTGCTGTAAATACGAAGTTTTTGTGTACATAAAATAACATTACACGGAGTGTCTTTCATGCCACCGGGCGAAGCAGTTTCGCGATGCAGTAAAACAGAGGTTTGCTGCGCATGTTTCTCGAAAAACACTTGCTTTCTGTTCAAGTTTTCTTTGTTCATAGCATAATTTACAATTCCAGAATATATATAAATATATATATATATATATATATATATATTGCCACGTTCATTTCCCAAGTTTTTGTTATCGTCCCAAAACACCACACGATTCTCAGCGCAAACCGTGCCTGCAGTTTTCGAGAAGGTTCCGGACTGTAGTAGATCATTTCGATAAGATCACGCCCACTGTGTGAAATGTACAGATTGTTCTGAAACCTACGCCACCGCCAGCGATAACGCTAGAACATTCGATGGCAAGAGTATAAATGCCGACGCGCTTCGCCGCTTGTCAGTTGTTGAACGAAGGCCGACGCTCCATTTGCCGCGATCAGTCCGAGACTGCTATCTGTGCGAGACTGCTGCTGTAATTGGACTTTCCGTTTACCGGGCACAGGTTCACCCAAATAAACAGTTAAATCCAACATGAAGTCTCCTGTCTTCGGACACGTCACGACCCCGTGACATCTGGTGGAAGTGCGGGGCATCGATCCCAGTACCTCTCGCGGTTCGTGAAAAACTTCGCCCGCATCGCCGATCCTCTCACTAACCTTACCAAGGTCGACGTGGAATTCAAGTGGGAAACGCCACAGTAACACGCTTTCCGGGAGCTTAAACATCGCCTCCAGACGCCTCCGTTACTTGCCCATTTCGACGAATTTGTCGAGACAAATACATACTGACGCAAGCAGCGTAGGTCTTGGCGCCGTTCTTGTGCAGAGGGCTGACGGACTTGAAAGGGTTATTAGTTACGCCAGCCAATCGCTATCCAAAGCAGAAGCAAATTATTCCACAACAGAAAAGGAGTGCCTCGCCATCATCTGGGCTACGTCGAAATTTCGCCCCTACCTCTACGGCAGGCCCTTCAAAGTTGTGAGCGACCACCACGCCTTGTGTTGGCTAGCCACCTTGAAGGACCCTTCAGGTCGCCTCACACGATGGAGCCTGAGACTTCAGGAATATGACATTACTGTCATTTACAAGTCCGGCAAAAAACACTCCGACGCCGACAGTCTCTCTCGTGCGCCTGTCGACCAACCGCTACCCGACGACCCGGATGACGACTACTTCTTGGGAACGATAACTACCGACGACTTCACTGAACGACAGCGGGCCGACCCGGAACTTAAGGCCCTAATAGAATACCTCGAAGGCAGAACTGCCGAAGTCCCGAAGGTATTCAAGCGCGCACTTGCGTCGTTCTTTCTACGAAACGGTCTTCTACAAAAAAAAAAACTTTTCACCGCTTCGAGCTAAGTACCTCCTTGTGGTGCCTTCAGCTCTGCGACCAGAACTCCTGCAGGCCCTGCACTACGATCCGACGGCAGGGCACCTCGGTGTTTCTCGCATGCTCACGAGGATACAAGAAAAGTACTACTGGCCACGTCTTACCACCGACGTCACTCGTTATGTGAGGACATGCCGGGACTGTCAGCGACGCAAGACACCGCCAACAAGGCCAGCGGGACTTCTGCAGCCAATCGATCCACCTTGCCGACCTTTCCAGCAGATTGGTATGAACCTACTAGGGCCGTTCCCGACGTCGGCTTTCGGAAACAAGTGGATCGTAGTAGCTACCGACTATCTCACCCGCTACGCCGAGACAAAAGCCCTGCCAAAACGCAGTGCATCCGAGGTAGCTAAATTTCTCGTCGAAAATATCGTCCTACGTCACGGCGCCCCGGAGGTCCTTATCACCGACAGAGGAACGGCATTCACTGCCGACTTAACTCAAGCGATCTTGGCATACAGCCAAACAAACCACCGCCTGACGACAGCGTACCACCCACAGACCAACGGCCTCACCGAGCGGCTTAACAAGACGATCGCCGACATGCTGTCAATGTACGTCGATGTCGAACACAAGACGTGAGACGCCATTCTTCCGTATGTGACCTTCGCATACAACACGGCGGTGCAGGAGACGACGCAGATATCTCCATACAAATTGGTCTACGGAAGGAGCCCGGCAACGACGCTCGATGCCATGTTAACCAACGTCACCGACGAAGAAAACCTCGGTGTGAGCGAGTACCTTCAACGCGCCGAAGAAGCCCGACAACTTGCGCGTCTCCGTATCAAGAATCAACAAACGACAGACGACGCCGATCGCGACCTGAAGTCGTCCATGTCGCGCACCTCAAGCCGTTTCATGCGCGTTAACAAACTGAAACAGTGTTTTTTTCTTTTATTATTGTTGCATCGTAATTTATTCATTGCACTTTCTTGCATTATTATTGTACCTTCATCTTTAGTTAAAGCATCGGGACGATGCCTTTTTTCAGAGGGGGGCAATGCCACGTTTCATTTCCCAAGTCAAACCGCGCCTGCAGTTTTCGAGAAGGTTCCGGACTGTAGTAGATCATTTCGATAAGATCACGCCCACTGTGCGAACAATACAGATTGTTCTGGAACCTACGCCACGGCCAGCGATAACGCTAGAACATTCGACGGCAAGAGTATAAATGCCGACGCGCTTCGCCGCTTGTCAGTTGTTGAACGAAGGCCGACGCTCCGTTCGCCGCTATCAGTCCGAGACTGCTATCTGTGCAAGACTGCTGCTGTAATTATACTTTCCGTTTACTGGGCACAGGTTCGCCCAAATAAACAGTTAAATCCCAACATGAAGTCTCCTGTCTTCGGCCCCGTCACGACCCCGTGACAATATTATAACCATCTCTCTCGCTGTACACCGGCTTCTGAGAAATATGCATCCAAGCATACTTATTTGGGCTTTTGCATAGCTCTTGAATAACTTGAAGAGTAAAAAACAAAGTCGACAGCGCTCACAAAGCGCTGCACCTCACTACGTAACGCAGCTCCAAGGTTCACTCCCGGCTGCCTCCGTGCAGGAAACTGCACTCCTTGCGCTGCCGCCGGCAAATAGTCCCGCTCGAAGGAAGTGAACCCGCTGCAGATAAGCACTCTAACCTTCAGAACACATCGGGTCAACATACACCGACGCGCACCGGCAAGAACGCGGCCCAAGAAAAAAGCTAAACTCACCAGTGGACGATCGCTGATGTTCCGGCGCGTTTTGACGAACTCTCGTCATCCGGGATGAAATCAAAAGTGTCGATGTCCTCTTCAGAGCCTGTGCTGTTGTCGTCATTAGAATGTTCCAGCCCAGATGCACGGAAATCCCCCAAAATTCCCCGTTTTCGTGAAGTGGTCACACGCGACGTTCACGCCATGATTGAAACTATGCACGCTCACTCACGCACATGAAAAGGCGCTTTAAAGTCACCACACAGTGAAAAAAAAGAAACATAAAAGGGAAATTGATAAAATACATTTTCTTTTACACGGTAGCGCAAGGGGTCCAAAAGCATTCGAAACAGGGCAAATATACAAGTTTTAAATATAAAAAAATTACTATCGATGGGGATAGGCGCAGTCATGAAAGTGTTAATATTTCTCATAACTAAGACAAAATAGTACTTTGCACTCGGTTACCATTGATGCCGGATCAGAAAACAGTTGGAAGCATTGCATTTTCTACTTTGAAGTGACAAAAACCAAGTACATTTTATAGCCAAGGTTCATTAGAATAAAATTAGTACCGTACTATGAATCGCTTTACTTTGTTGTAATCAGTGCGCATCAGTCCAGAACATTTGTAATCGGCTGCATAGTTCACCATAGCAAGACATGCATGCATACATTCTTCTAATGTTAGAATCCCATAATATTGAAGTAGCCTGTCACTATCTTAAGAATGATGGAAGCTGCTTGTGCTTCATTTCTTGAGATTTCATGAAGATTTTGGTGCCTTGATAATAGCACACTTTATGAGCAGGTGTTATGATAAGGGCATATTCATTGCATGGTTCACTTGGCAATATTCCCCTGTGGTAAGAATACCTTTCTGAGAATTCACTGTCACTCTGTATGCTGTCTTGGTGTGGTGTTTAGGAGTCCACTTAGCATGCTGTTCATTTG